TCCCTCCCAAGGAGCCCTCCCCCTCATTTACCATATATGGTAATATCTCATGTCTGTTAATGGTACTGTTAAACAGTTCAAAAGTTAATTTCTCCAGTCAGTCTCTATTAATATATGATACGTAGGTAAATCTTGTACTAATGACAGTGTGAAAATACTTTTTTAAGGTAGTCTTTAATAATGCACTTAAATTTCCCTGACATTTTTGCAATGCAAAGTAGGTGTAGCAAGTATACTCATGTATGTTTGAAGTTACATAAACACTACAGGATACAAGGGCAGAATGATTTAAAGTGAGCAAAACCAGTAAGATATGAATCATATCTTGGCTAGAGATCAACACATAATGCTGAAACATCAAGTACTTCTGTCTAAAAAAACAAGAACAGCTGAGTTCCTCAAAGCATGTTGTTGCTTGTATAACCTTTTTTGTTTTATAAAATCTAAAGAACAGTGATTAGAAGGAACACCAGCTGCAATTTATCCACAGTGGACTTGCCTAGTATTCCTGGCTCTAGTTCTACCTGGGGGTCTGCTAACACAGACCACTAATGCATTGAAAACAACTGTCAGGGACAACCCTTCTAACTTTTACAATGCCTTATAAAAAAGGAAACAGATATAGACCACAATGGGGCAGTAGTTGTGTTCTCCCTCAAAAAACCTTAGTCAACAACTTGACTTCCATTTCCGAAAGCATTCAGATAGGCTTCTGAAGGGAAACTTCAGCCAACAAGCAGCCATAATGTCCACCCTAAGGATCAAACATTTGGAGTTAAAGGTCTTAATAACAGAAAATGTTTCACTGCTGTAAATGACAGAAGTATTTGCAATTACACAATATAAATATAAAACATGCTGCGTTGTAAGGGAATAAAGCAACTTTATTGGACAATTCTTTTTTATTAAGAGTATACTCGGGTGACTGAGAGAATATTTGGCTAGTGCCTTGGGAGAGGCTTTACAACACAGGCTGATAGACTGTAGGTCTACGAAAAGTAAGTTAAACATAGGACTTATCTATACAACTTCTTCCAGGAATATATTTCCTACAAAAGTTGTTCTCTGTTTCAGCTTACGCATACAGATTTGTTGAACCTTGCAGCGGGTTAATAGAGAACGAATGTTTACTTAAACACTCAAATGTATTACTGCTGTGCTTGGAAGCTGTCAGATATTTAATCATCGTAAGTAATTTATTAAACAAAGCAATGAAGTTGTATTTTGCAGCACTGGACAGTCTGTACTGTTCTTTGACCCAGTCTCTTCAGCGATGGTGCCAGAACGGCTATTTACACGCTGCCTGAAAAAATGACTCGCGCTCTGAATCTCGGTCTGCTGGATTTAACCACCACGGCGGTTTGAAGAGCAAACGGCAAACATGCAGCGCTGGTACACGTCGTTCGTCTTTTACTGCCGGCGGTACTGTAATGGTTATAGTGCCTTGCAAAACGCTGAATGAAATACAGAGATCGTCTGTGCACTTACCTCACTTAACATGCAAGAAGTTTGTCTCCTAAGAAGAGCTTTCTTAGGACAGACACAGTGCATTTCCAAACGTGAGTTTAGGAACCAAAGCCACGGAGGCTTCTTTTATACCCTTAGAGCATGTTAACCTCCAAACAGCTTTTAACTCCTGGTCTCCCAGGACATTACGAGCACCCGTGCATTTGCGGCAGACGCTTTAAAAAGCTTTCACTCCTCTGATTTAAACACCAGGACCAATCAATCCCTTATTCTTGTGCTCTGCTGATACTTGGACTTTGAAAAGTTATGTCGGATCATAAGAATTCAGAATGGTTTGATGTACTACACACAAATACCTTGTAGCGCATCAGTAAAGCTCAGAATGCGTGCCATGAGCTGAAAAACATACGGCAATAAAACATCAATGAAATGAAGGCTGGCTACCGAAACCACAAATGTATGTGGAAGAAACATAACGTGGCTTGCCAAAGCCTTCTAAGGCTGAAGAAAAGGGGTAACAACAAAAGGACAGGCCCCAATCCTGCCGAACGCTGAGATTTTACACAGGAACCAGTTAAAGTTCCACTGTTGAAAACTACAGTGTGGGAAACCGGGACTAGTGGTTGAAGAGAAAAACAGCGTGAGGAATGCAGACAGTTTTAGTTATATCCATGTTTGTGTTCGCACATTTGGGGCTATTCAGCTCCTGTCCCCTGGTTCTCTAAGTGTTGAACGTGCACAACGTGGGCCACCCCCACGGCTACGGAGCTAATTAATTAAATCCTCCCACAGACCGATGTCCCGTTCCTGCAAGCTGCTCTCCCCCGGCTTAGGGCAGGGCGTATCCAGAGGCCGGTCGGCGGCTGCGCTGCCGCCTGTCAGGGGCGGCGCGGGCGGCCCCTTCCCGCCCTTTTCGCACTCGCTCAGGCGCTAGAGCGCGGCCGTTATTTTTGGCGGGCTTCACCTCAGCCCTCTCCTTCAGACTCCCCCAAGGGCTTCAGACTCCTTTAGCCTGGGGCTGCGTCTGCTGCTGGTGCTGTGGCGGCTGACCGTGGTATTTGCTGTTCTCCATCCTTCGCCTGCTTTTTTTTCTGCAGCTTTACCTCAGGGTTTTGGTTGCTTGTCTTCAAGAGGGGATAGAAAACAAAGTAAGACTGTCCAAAGTCCTATGCAACACCAAAACTGGCTTCATTAACTAAAATGACAAGCTTATGGGGTTTCATGTTACAAGTATGCCACTTCCTGATGGCCGTTAGGCTGCCAAGTTCTGGCAATACAGTTTAAATTGTGTAGCAGCAATGGACTAGAAGCTGCTGTAATGTTGTCACACATCTAATTGATGTATCTCACAGAAATGAAGACTGAATTGGTCTATTAGTCTGTCTGGGGTAGATACTTGTGCTTAATTCTTATCAACATATTTAGTAGCTGCATGTGGTTAACTGCCAAATCAAAATAGAATCAATGACTTTTATTATTTATATGCACAAGTATGTGGTATTATTTGTATGCCACTAGGAGAAGTATGTGCCAGTAACTTGACTGCAGGTTTAGGTCTTTACCTTAAAGTACAGAAAGGCAGTTCAATTTCTGAAGCATGACACTATTTTTCACAGAATAGTTACATCAGTTTTTTACTCAAAGCCGTGTACCTTGCTGTCACACTTTGCAGCAACGTATAAGTATGCATTTTCTATTAGTATTCTGTTTTCAGGAATAAAAAGTGAAATCAGTATTTTTAAATCCCTTTTGAAAAGTAGATATTATAACTTTTGCTTCAAGAATGTATTCATTTGAACCTTTAATCTGCAAAGAGCAATTGTACATTACCTGTGTTAACTGTGGATCTTTGAAACTCCCTACAACTGCTCACACGTGTTAGGCTTGTGTCAGCAGTGAGGTGTGAGGGCATAGAGAGGATTAAGCAAAACTGCCATAGAGTCTCATAAAATTTGAATGTGTTTACAACAGAACTAGTTTACTTTGTCTGCTTATCTAATTTACACAGCAAATTTGGAGTAAGCAATACCGTGTTGCCTCTTCAGGCACAGCAAAGAAATGAAAAAGAGTCTAGCTGACACTTCAACGCGCAGCACAGCAGGTACTGTCCGTTCCTTTGTACTTTACAGTTCAGTCCTCATTATGCTTTTATATTTATATATACACAGACATGAAAAATATTCACACAGGATATACGGTATTCAGCTGTTTTATTGCAGCACAGGGCAAGATTCTGAATGGAGTCAGGTGACTGGACACTAAGAGAAGTGTTTCATTCACAGGATTATTTGCAGGACAGAGAGCTGGGAATATAAATTCTGCGGGGAGGGCAATGGCTGGTCTGTTACATGTTTATGAAATGTGATTCCTGTGGGTGCTGTAAAATAATTGTTAAGTAATTTTAACTCTTAAGCATAGATTGTGTATCCTTTTGCTATTGGCATAGTATTATTATTATTATTTTTATTATAGGTTATCTGCCTGTACCTCTGTTCAATCAGAAAAAAAGAAATAGACAGCCCCTTACTTCAAATCCACTTAAAAATGAGCCAGGTACCAGTTCCGGGACATGTACTTACGAATTTTCTCCCACATCATTTGGTAAATAAGATATATATAGTTTTTTTTAATGTCTCTAAATCCAATTAAACTGTAACTTTGTATGTATTAAGTTAGACATTGTCTTTTTCAAGAATTATATGCATCCTTTATATTTATTTCTGAAAAGTTCATTATGTAAAAAATGTCCTCCGGGAAATTTCTTTCTCCTCTATACAATTGAGCTTTTTATACTTTGTGCCCAGAGGGAGTTTGACTCTTTGTGTGTTAGAGAATGAAGTAGCACTGGCATTTAAATAGAGTCTCTTGAAACTCTGACCTTTTGTTTTCACTTGATTTCAATCAACATTCAAGTCCTGTGTTACAAGAAGAAACATTTAGAAGATGTCTTTCTTGTAATTCTGAAGAGAACTTCTGTTCTTCAAATTGTGCTTGGACAGAATGATGCAGAATTCTGCCTTTAGTACTTTCTTTATGTTTTACTCATAGTGAAAAAGTTTATGTATAATAAAGCAAAAGTCTCTGTGCTATTAAGTCTAATGCTTGTAATTTAATAATTGTCTAGAGAAGCAGCCTACTTGTTAGAAGTTGCCTTATAATTACAGATATCAAAGGATCCCATTCCCTTTTTCTTTTTGTCTCTTCTCCTTCCTGTCCACTATTTGTGGAACACCAAGCAGATAAAGAGTAGGAGCCCTAAGTAGACCTACTACTTTTCAGTCTTTTCACTGTGTATCTTTATTTAATCCTTTGTCTTTTGAGAACTAGGCTGGGGAACTGCAAATCCAGAAGTGGCTGAACTACAGAAAGCAGCAAACAATGGGTACGTAAAAGCAGATTATATTTTTGCTTATTGATTTTTATTTGGACAGTAATTGTTTCACAGACTATGATCCATCGTCTGTCTTACATTAAAGCTGATACTATGTCACTGATACTTTAAACTTTTCTTTGAAAGCCCAACAGACCATCAGATGGCCCTTTCCCTTATGAAACCACCAAATGCATCAAAGTCTAATTTAGCAAATGCTGGAAAAAACTTGTATGCCTGCAGGTTGGTGGAGTCTTTAATTTTTTATATCCTTCCTTAAACAAAATTGTTCCCATGGGAAAATATATCTTACATATTCTTGTAGCATTCAGAGACACCCTTTTAATTCTCAGATCACTTTAGTCCTAAATAATTACGTTGTGCTTATGAGACAAAACCCACTGAAATACCTTTCCAGTGTACCTAATGAGGCCTAGACCTTAATTAGACCTAATATTTAGCCTTATTATCAGGCCTAAAATTCAGTCTTACCATGGAAGTTGATTGAATTTTGCTGGTCTTAGATATAATTTTTTGAGATTCCCCTTTACTTGAAGTTTTGCCCACTTTTGAACCAAATTTACCAATAGATTAAATAAGTTTTTATCAGTGTACATTAGGGCAATTTTGTATCAAAACACTTAATAGATTTGTGAACTCTCTGCTTTTATAAACCAAGGGAAAGCTTACAGCTTCAGATGCCTAGAACTGGCAGGAGAACTTCCAGTAATTTTGTAATTGTCCTTTTTCTCTCTTCCCTTCCTCCTCTTCCTTTCCAATGGCCAAAAGAGAGTGAATGTTTCAGACAGGCGCCTTTAATGGCAAAGTGGAATGGAGATGGAAGGAATTTCTGAGCCACCTTTATAAAATGGTGTTAGAAATAATAAGGTTGGCAGTAGAGTTTATTGTAAAATTATTTCTTTGGTGATGGTGTTAGATAAATTTGGAAATAACACTCTTGGAAGAAACTGCTTATTTTATTTTGGAGTTATGGAAAAGCTGTGAATCTTAGGTCAGGACAGATCCCGTATAGTGGATAGGACAATAATTAAGCATGCTTTTAAGGCCTATGGAATTCAGCTGGATTTAAGCACAGGTGTCATCACTGCCCTGTATATGGGTAAATTTAAGTGTATACTCAAGTGCTTTGAGTCTGCATATTTAACAGATGTTTTTAAAGCTGTGCATGGATTGCTTTTATATACTTTAATGACATATCTGAGTATTCAGAATATGTATTTTGATACTGAACTACGTCATGTTGTCCTGCAGGGCTGAAGAGAAGGCTCCCGGTACTAAAGTTTGGAACCAAAATGAGTATACTCCTTTAAGTAACACAACACATTCAAGACCTGACAGTGGAATTATTAAAAAGTTTGAGACCCTTTCAAACAGTTTGAAAACTGTTCAGCAGCAAAAAAACCCTGATAACCGTAATTCATCCCAGCATATGAAAACAACAGAAACCAGCCAACCTTTTGCATCTAAAGGACAGTGGCCAGTGAAACCTAACGCTGTTTCCAGAAGTCTGCAGGACCATAGTGTGGCATATAAATTTAACCACAATATTCAGCAAAATAAAATTAATGGAAAACAATTTGATTGTGTTCCAGAAGACAAAAGTCAGGTAAACTTACAGACTTAATAGGAAGGTAAAATGATGAAAACAATAAAGAAAAAGAAAATAGTAGAAAGATGAGGATTTCATCAGTCCTAGCTGCCTGAAGTTTCTGAAAATTCAGAAATTAGATTTTCATACTATAACAAACTACCATCCTCAGCATGATCATATAAACTGGCAGGGAGTTACTCTGATTTTAATGTAAATTTTGGGTATTTCACATAATATATAAATGTCTATGTGCCTTTGAAAATTGTGTCAGTATGTATCTCTAACTTGAGTTTTCATCTTCCTCTGAAAGGAAGGTTCATCTCAATTAAAATTTGAAGAAAGAAAGACTTCTTTGCGAATCATATCTGCAGTCATTGAAAGTATGAGGCACTGGAGTCAATATGCTTATAAAACTGCACTATTATTTGAAGTTTTAGGTAAGCATGGTAGATTGTGCTGTAACTGTTAATAATGGTAGGACAGCAGCCAAGAGAAGATGTTATTAACTGTAGGAACAATAACTGAAATACTTCAATACACAAAATACTGGCATGAGCACCATCTAATTTTCCTGCTGGGAGATCCATCCAGCCGTCAAAGGTGACTAAAATAGGTACAAAATTAATAAAGTCATTGTCCAACATTTACGCCCTTTTTATCCTGTTTCTTTTCTTCCCTTGTTTTTTGTATGTGTTACAATATATTTTCCTATTAAAAAGGAACCTTCTGTAGGGAGGTACAGTTTTACAATAATTTTTAATTCAATTAATGTGGGAATGAGTTCAGTTCTGGAGTGCTTCTAAACAGAAGTGGCTTTTAGTGTGTTTCACTTGGTGTTTTAACTGACAGCTGAGAAATGAACATGACGAAAGTAGAGGATTGTGTTGTGCTTTGCTTAACAAGGGAATAGCCTGTTTACAGTGATGGTTATGAAAACTCTCTAACCTGGGTGACCAACTATGGTTTTCAGGTACAATTTTCCTATTCAAAGGCTATGTAAAGCCCATAATTTGTACTGGAACTTCCAGTGCTGCCGGCACAAGTTTTCGCAGAAAGCTGATGCTGACTTGGTATATCCGAGTGCAGTTGTGTCGTAAATGTTGTCACAGTATCTTTGTATATCAATCTTAGTGCTGCTCTGCTGTTTACATCCTGATTCATTTTTCCTAAATGGTACAGGCACGCTTGATTCTGCAGTCACAGCTGGAGCATATGGGGCAAAGAATTTTCTTTTGAGAGATGGCAAGGAGAGTCTGCCTTGTGTATTTTATGAAATTGTAAGTATTCTGTGCCCACACGTAACACAGACACCACTAGCTGTAAGCCCTTTTATGAAGATAGTTCGTCTGATAAAAGAGAAAGTTATTGTGTGAAGGAAAGCTGGATGCTTAAACCATATTGTTCCCAAACTGGTCTTGAGCTAGTCACTATTTAGGCATCCTCAGACTTTGGTTTCAGAAAAAAAGGTGGGACTTTCCATCCAGCTTCTAAGTAGTTGATAATAGCAAAAAAGCAACTCTAAATTCTTTCTGCACTTGATGTAGTCTTCAGAAATCCACTAATATCTAACAACTGGACGTTTTGAAAGCTTTATGTTAGAAAGATAATTTTTTCATTTGTTTATTATGCTTTTGATGAAGGACCGGGAGCTTCCAAGACTAATTAGAGGTCGAGTGCACAGGTGTATGGGAAACTATGACGCAAAAAGGAACGTTTTCAAGTGCGTCTCTGTAAGACCAGCAACTATTCAAGAACAAAACACTTTCCAAGAATTTGTTAAAATTGCAGATGTTGAGATGACAGTGTATGTAAAAACAATGAATGAAATTTAAAACGGTCCAAATGGTTGTCTGACACTGATTTTCACTCATCATTACCCATAAATGCTGGACATCCTAAAGCATTTACCAAAGCTAATACTGAAAACCTAATTAAATAATTGAAAATATCACTATGCTGTGTTATCCAACAAATGTTAGTAACAATAGTTTGTTTCCGTTATTATTTTTCATAGCTTATCTTTCTTAGCTATATGCACAATAACAGGGGTTTATTACATAGTAGATTAGATTTTACTGGGGAAATTCTGAATGAAAATGTTTACATTTTGCTGTATTGCAAGTTTCTTAGAAACAGATCATCAACACATTCAAATTGTCATTGCTTTTCATTATCTTCAATTTCTAGAAATTCCTTCAATACCTATTTCAAAATGTTGACTATGTACACCTTTTGAGGAGTATGTGCTCAAAGTTTAATAGGGAACAAATGTCAACAAAGTTCTCGTTGGCTCTGCTTATTGTATTAAAACTGCTCTTTGGTGGAAAGGATGAAGGTAGTCTTTATCCCACTTCAGTGCCAGCTAAGAAGTTCCCTTCCCTTGCTGGATTACAAGAACATGTGTAAAAGCTTTTCTAGAAAGGAGCATAATAAATACTACAGAAAGATTTCACAGGATGCAGCTGTGTATATTAGGTATTCACATGGTTCCCATTGATATGTTATCTGATTCATGTTTTTTAAAAAAATAAATAAATAAACAGTATAACACCTCTATAAAATAGCAACAGACCCTGAAGCTGTAGGAAGATTGCTCAAGGACACAGAGGAGGTTGGAGAGAAATAATTATTTCAACACAGAACTTCCTTGCCTTTACCACAGAAACATCTTTCATGAGGGATGGGCCATGTACATGTTTGTGTCTTTGCCTTCAAACATTAACTTCTAT